CATCATAAAGAATATTTGATTTGTATCCACTGATATTTTTACAGTATTTCCACACCATAAGATCTCATTGGATGTTGTTCTTCATCATAAAGAATATTTGATTTGTATCCACTGATATTTTTACAGTATTTCCACACCATAAGATCTCATTGGATGTTGTTCTTCATCATAAAGAATATTTGATTTGTATCCACTGATATTTTTACAGTATTTCCACACCATAAGATCTCATTGGATGTTGTTCTTCATCACTAGCACAGATGAGCTTATGAGAGCTGATCTGTTTTTTTACAAAATGCAGTTCTCAGGTGGTCATGATATGAAGTCTATTACGTAATATGAAGTAATACAATACAACCCATATAGTGATTAATAAAACACGTTGAGAAAAGTGTTTAACAGGCTGAAAGCTCTCTCTGTTGAAGTATCTTGTGTCAGAAAAACTGATGATGCTTTAATAATTTTCTGTCTAATGAAAGAATACAATATTTTAAAACCAGAAAATATAGATTGTTGACTCCTCTGAAAGTTGTCAGTGTTTTAAAACTAAAAAGAGCAAACTTCACAGTGGTTTGAACAGAAGTGTAACAACTGTATTTTTAAAGAATTTTAAGATAAATCTTCTGTTTTGTTTTGTCCTATAATGTTTATCTAGAAAATGTGGCTGTGTTTATTTTAAACTGTGTGTTATTATGATTTTATTACATGTTTTATTTCTTTCGTACTGTATTCTGCACTTGATTTAGCATTAAAGTTTCTTCATTTTTCCAAACTTAAAGAGGAAAGCCATCTTCTCAAGCAAATTCTGTTCTTGCTATGGGTGGGCTAGTTGCAGCAGTGATTAAGTTTGTTGGCTCGATGGATGACCAGTCCAAGCTATCTAGCCAGGATAGTACTGATTATGTTGGTCATAAACACTGGGTGTCAGCTGCCATAGAAACAATCTTGTGTGCTTTGGATCCATATAGGAAACCTTCAAAAAATGTGTTTGGTTGGCTTCTTGGAGTGAGTTCACAGTTTGATCTTGTTAATCTGGTTTAGAGTATTCACAACAGTGTCAGTTTTGTTTACAACACAATTTTTCTCAGGCTGATATGATCATCATTGTATTTTAAATACATGTTGTCTGTTATTTGTAGCCCTTAAGTTATTGCAAACACTGTGAAAGTAATAATATTAGTCAATAATTATGGTGTCTGTTTTAGTTTTCTTTAAATTGTTAAGCATAAATGCTTTGGAAAGAGATGATTTGTTTGTATATGTGACTTTGTTTTCTGTAGTTTTCTGTGATTTGAAACTTACTTTTGTATTTTAGTAACAAAAATAATTCCTGTTATTCTTAAAGCTGTAAACAAAAATAAGGAATAAAACACGAAATCACCACCAGGATAATTTATACAGATAATCTTCAAAAGGTGTGCTACTAACTGAACAATAATTTTTTGAGTAGACAATCAAGTTTTTTGTTTTTATGTTGTTGTAATATTTATCCAACATTATGTTTTGTTATAAAATTGTTTACTTTTTTTAAAGAATTTTTAAGAATATCTTAAAACCAGCAATTAAGTAATAACTTAACTACATGGGGCAGAACCATCACCCTACAGAAAAACTAATATTAAAATGTAATAAAAATAATCAGCAAACCAATAATCAATCTACAATTTATTAACTACATAAACTTTTATACAAGCTTAAACTCTTATATCAATTACATCTTATTCTCAAAATACTATGGTGAATTTAAGACAAGCCAAAATCTGGTTTTTACAGGTAGTTTTCAGTTCAATGAAAAAAAATTAAACAATTTTATATCAAAACTTCGTTGGATAAATATTACAACAATATAAAAACAAAAACTTGATTGTCTACTCAAAAAAATTATTGTTCAGTTAGTAGCACACCTTCTGAAGATTATCTGTATAAATTATCCTGGTAGTGATTTCTTAAGATTTTCTTAATTTTATTATCAAACTAGCTATTATGTAAAGTGATGGTTCTACTATATATGGTTGAGTAATTGTGACTTAATGATTGGTTTCAGATTATCTTTATTATCTTATAAAATTATCTTTTCTGTAGAATAATGGTTATGCCCTATGTAGTTACAATATAGTTACTTATTAATGCAGGTGTGCAAAAACAGTCAGTCCACTAATAGAATAATTTCATTTATCACTAAAATCCAACAAGAACTTGTGGAATATAGAATACCAGGTTTTCTTCATAAAACATTGATTACCAGTAAACTCTGGATCTGGTCAGTAGGAAGTTTATCAATGAACATATCTTGTCAGTACAGGTGGGATCTGGTCAGCAGGAGACATATGAACCATAATGAACCTTGATTTGACTGTTTTTATTAGCTACTTCAATGTTCCACTGAAAACATAACACAAGTACATAAGCTTGCTGACACTAACATTGTATAGTTTTACTTTTTACAATATGTGTGTGTGTGACAAATCATTAAGGTAGATTTTAGTAACTCAACTTTAAGAAATCTGATTTGCTGTTATACTGATTAATCATAGCCATTGAGAAGCTTGAATGAAAGCCTCATGTCCAGCTCATTCATCATAAACCCAAGTCTTTGCGTAAGATCAGTTTTGCTGTTTATGTTTTTTACATATGCTGCAACACCAAAGGTTTATCAATGTACATATTATTGTCAGTACAGGTGGGATCTGGTCAGCAGGGGGTTTATCAATGTACATATCTTGTCAGTACAGGGGGATCTGGTCAGCAGGAAGTTTATCAATGAACATATCTTGTCAGTACAGGTGGGATCTGGTCAGCAGGGAGTTTATCAATGAACATATCTTGTCAGTACAGGTGGGATCTGGTCAGCAGGAGGTTTATGATTGTACATA